CATAGTTACTGTAATAAAAAATGCTGCCAGCATGTAAAGTAGGACACGGAGCCAGCTAGCCCCAGCTGTAGGTACCACTGCAGACACACATAGGCTGCTTAGACTAGTGCAGGTAAGGTTCTCCATCTAAAACACTTTGCTGCATATCTAGCTGACCAATGCAATTTTTTCTCCAAAGGCAATTGATTATTTCGGTGACAAATGCAGGAGAAGGGGTCCTATGACTGTCTAGAAGCCAAGAAACCAGAAATAACTCCATCAAGAACAAGTAATGGAAACTACTAATACTTAGGAGAGAGAACCACACAAAACACACAACTCAAACTGTCAGCTCACAAGACAACTGCCTCTCATATGAGTGAAAAATGAAAACGTGGAACAGAGAACTTCTCTCAACCATCAGGTACAGCCACCAGCTCTGAAGTCACCTTTACATTGTTTATTCTGGGTCTGCTGATCTGTTTTGAGGATTGGCCAAGGTATCTGCCTTTCCTTCCCTCCTACCAATGCAGACCTTTTTTCCTTTTCACTAATTAATTCTTCCAGGAAATAATACAGAAGAGAAGGAAAAGAGGTGAAACTTCCATTAGTCACACTGCTGCTTTTTAGGACAGACTGGATTTTGGCTGAGAATACTGGCCAAAAAGAGGCTTCTGAATTCAGGCAGGCTCAGGAGAAGATTTCAATTATGTGTATTTCTCCATCCTTCACTGGCAGAATTGCCTGCAGGTATAGGGGGAAAAGCAGGTAGCCTCAATCTCTCCTTAAGAGAATCCATTTTTCCTATGAAGCAAAAGCATACCATACAGCACTAGCACTGGGGGCCATTTGTGGGGCCAGCCAGTGGGGGAGCCACAGTCCCTGACCTGACCACAGATGGGATGTTCACCTGGGAGGCCAGCCCCACCCATAAATGTCCTTGATCTTTCTGGCTTCAGTGTTTAGGAACCAAAGGGCTTCATGGCTCAATTTTCACCCTCTACAGTCACAGGGATCTCAATCTAATCTGTGGCATTAAATTTATGCTGATCACGCCCAAAATTATATAGGCAGTCCACAACTTTCTTCTGAACTAAAGAAAATGCAAGTTCCTTGGAGACAAGACCTGGCCAAAAGTAGGAACTTAACAAGTGTCTGAATAAATGAATAGATGAGTTGGTGAGTGACAGACCCAACCTACATCTAATTTTCTATAGGTGTATGAACTAACATGAGAGCAAAAGTTTTACTGTTTAAGAACCAGGCATAACAGTGTAAGTAACTTATCCAAGGATGCACTAAAAGGAAAGTAATACAATTACATATTAAAATTCCAACCAAGCCCCTGACTTTATTTTGCTGTGTTCCTGCATGTTCTTAGATCTGGCAAGTCAGAAGTCATCCGGATTTCCTTGTTTGGCTGAAATACAAGGGGTCTTAAAAAAGATCATGTTAGGATTCGTATTATCTTTCAATTCTATTGTTCCACAAACTTTTTGAAGTATCCTTGTACTCTTATTAACAATGGTTCAAGTTAATAAACTCTGGATTTGTGCTGTAAGGAAATTTCACGGAAATTCAAAAGCATTTACTATGTGTACTCAGACAGGTAAGATTGTATACAGAGGGGAGTATCATCAGCCACACTTTAAAATGCACCCAGAAGCAAACCTGTAGCCAGTAGATGCTGTAGGGACAGATGTAATAAACTTCAAGTCCATCAGTCCCCAGCACTGTTCATCAGCCAGCCAGAAGCATCTTCCAGATAGTCACTTGGGTAGCAAGTACACAATGAAAAACCATTCTTATTGTGGTGCACGTTTACTGGGGGAGGAATGAACCACAGGGACATGCAACTGGCTTAGAACAGAACAGCAGAACAGCAATTCCTCTTGCAGAAGCCACCTCAGCTGCTTGGCAAAGTGTTGCTTGAGCCCTGCTCAACCACCAGCAAAGCCTGCCAAGCACCTGGCCACTTTGGACCACCTCTCCTCCTGCCGCCATTTTGGGAGAGTGGACAGGTGTTGTATTTTGTTCAAACACAGGAACCACATTTCTAGGAATCCTCTTACCAGCATACAGGTGGGAAGGGGGACACCAGAGTGATCAGGAATGTGGACTTGGAGGATAGATGGTCATGTTCGAACTCGCCTCAGTGACTCATGAGCTGTGTGTCCCTATGGACATGTCACCAACTCTCTAAGCCTCAGTTTCCTCAATTCTAAGTCTGCTTATAATTACTATGAAAATTACAGGAGATAGTGCAGGAAAAACAGGAAAAAAGCTATCATACTGTCTTGGCCCATGAGGTCTTAATACATCCTAGCTATTATTATAATAGTAATTACTATATTACTATCAATCATATTATTTGTGACTTTTTAAAAAAATAAAAAATACATTTGTCTTCCTCTTGAGTTTAGATGTGTAATAGACACTGCTGGGGTTTATCATTTATTTCCAACTAAGCGTTTGCCTGTAATTAGGGACATTAAGACTGAGCTTTTTTAGGCATGGCTAACAAAAATAAAGTCGCTTAAAGACTTTCCCCTCAATTCTACTTTTGTGTAAAAAATATATATAGTCCAGTTTTGGAGAGCTTAACAGAAATGTCAGACAAATATGATTTTGTGCAGTATTTAAGTAGGCTAAGCAATATGAGTACGATTTTAAAATATATTCATAGGCATGCATAGGTTCAGCTAGGTATTTTTCTAATAAACTATTACCTGACAGAAATATTTGTTTGATCTAATACCCTGCATTGCTTCGTTGCTTGAAAAATGAAATAAAACAATGAAATATACATTTCTTTTTCCTTTTCTACTTATCACACTAACCAAGGACACACATGAGAAGCATTAAGTGAGCATTATCAAATTGCACAGCATTCATCCCATGCGTAGAGATTCTGACTCAGCAGGTTGGGGAGGCAGCAGGTATTTCTATTCTGCAAAAGCTCCCTAAGTCCTACTAACACTAATACCTGTGGTTAACAACCACTGTACAAAATCTTTCATTTGACAGGAAGTTTTTTGCCTTAAAACCTTTCACAAGGGGCCGGCCCGGTGGCGCACTGGATAGTGCGCCGCTTGGGAAGCGCGGCGGCGCTCCCTCCCGAGGGTTCGGATCCCACATACAGACCGGTTCCCGCTCACTGGCTGAGCGAGGCACGGGAGCAACACCGAAGGGTTGCAATCCCGTTGCCGGTCTCCGGTCCGGTATGGGGGCAACACTGAGGGTTGTGATCCGTTGCCGGACACGGAAAAAGACAAAAGACAAAAGACAAAAAAAAAAAAAAAAAAAAACCTTT